ATGGAAAATTCGTATTCAATGCAATAATAATGAATAGAACTAATTCTATTTATATAAAATATATAATATCTATATATAAAATATGTCTATATATAATGTCTATATATAAAATCTCTATATATAAAATATAGAATGTGATGATTTATTATAATTTCTATATTGGCCATAATGTATTGTAGATGGACTAAAAGATATTCTGTTTTTTTCAAGATATTTCAAAATATAAAACATAAACGAAATATCGTTATGTTTATATTCCATTTAAATATTTCTTTCTTAATATCATAAATAATTCAAGATAAATAATAATGGAAGTTGATGAACTCATATATTATGATGTAAAGAGAGTTTTATATAAAATGATCGTTCGATAACGAAACAGTGAAAGTTATCAAATATTGTAAATTATCAAATATTGTAATCTAACTGTTCTGAAAAGGAAATCATACTTTAAGAAAAAGAAATAAAATAATTATTTTAATTAGTTTGATTTCATCTGAAAATGAAATTAAACTTTCTACGTTACAGACATACATATTCAAGATTTTTCGCTTTCTGATAAAGCACTTAATTATATTTATGAAACAATATGCTATGCTAATTTAATTGTCTATTTAAATTTTCATTTAGAATTATAGAATGTCGATCAGTGTTATTCAAATTTTTTTCTGTGAAATATACTGAAAAGAACTAAACTTCATTCAAATTTCGAAGAAACAAAAATTGCCAATAAAATTTCCAATTCACGAATGAGTGTTATTATTCAATTATTACGTAACACTCAACACATTCTTGTGTTTTTTTCTATTTCTGAAATTGAAATTCCTGTTTTTTAAAAATCGAATATTTATATATTGAAATTATTAATCGAATAAATATATATAATAAATAAATACAAACGACATTTGATCCAATGAAGGATGAATTCAACCGAGAAAAAAAATATATAATTCTACGTTTACTTTCTTCGGCCATTGGCGTAAACAATCGATGTTGCGAGATTTTCGTAAATATTTTAAAAGATGTTATTAGATACTTTAAACAATTTTACTTGATGTAGAATGATATTATAAAATGATGTATAACGGTAATGATCACTTTATTAGAATCACCAAAAGTGTTTATTATAGGGATTGTATCGGCAAGCGAGTAAGTTACGACAATGCAATATTACTCTTGTTACAGTAACAGAAGACAGAGAAAGTGAACGTAAGTTCCAGAAAGATCGCACACTTTCAAAGGGCCATTTCACCGTTTTTTTTCTTTTTTCTGTGAAAATCGTAGTAGCAAAACAATGTAGTAAAATAAATTCGATTACGACTTTCTATTAATTCAATCAAGTCCATAGAGATTTTCGTCAATGAAGATAAATAGCATCATTAAACAAAAGATAATAATAGGATTCGAGAATAATAAAACGATTGATTATTGCGCAGTTATGGATATTTTATTTACCGATGGAAATGAATGTTTTCAATCTCATAAATTAATGTAATATAGATAATAAAGTATTTTAAGGAGCGGTAATTTGTAATGGTAATAAAATAAATAAATTATATTTCAATACATTATACAAACAGTTATATATTGCATAATGATAATTTTATTTTTATATTATAAATATTTTGTATTTAATATTATAGTAATAAGTTTAGTCATCATGTAATAACTATTTTCAAAAATTTGTTTTTCAATAAGTAAAAATAAATAATAATATATTTTTAAACGATTCGTATCTCTTATGCATTAAAATTCTTTCTTCCTCAATTTTTATCAAGATTGAATACTTTCTATTTAAAATAAATTAAAATAAATAATCACTCTAAATAATAAACAAAATAAATTTACTTAAAAATAAATGAAAATGTTTGCAAATAAATTTTAAAATCTTATTTAACAAATTTCAAACAATAATAGGAAATGAAAAATGATGAAATTCTTCGTATAAATAAAAAACACATTTTTCATTCTCAGATCAAGATATGCATTAGAAATAAAAGAGAAATGACTTTTAAAAATAGAAATTTCACATTAAAAAAAAAAAAGGTTTCATCACACAGGAAAAACATCTTTATATTTTAATAATAAAATCAAATAAGAATTATCTATGTAAATATCAAATAAAGTAACAAATATTAAAACAATTTATTTCTTAACAAACATTATCATTATTCAAATAATATTAACTTAAAGCAAAACAAACGAAGAATGATATAAAAATTTTATTTGACTAATCATTTGAAGAGTATATCTCAATAACATTCAATCTTATTTCTCATTAAATGAAAATAGCTGGATACCTTTTTTTGGAATATGGATTATTATATTCATTGCTCGATCCCTTTCACACGGGAGATAACTTGATGTCTACGACAATGATGGAATGAATGTGAAATTTCATAGTATAATCTCAGGTGAGAGTGAACACAGGGTTGGGTGGGGTGCATATAGGAACTATTTTGCTCGTTCCTGTACCGTTCACTGATTATGTTTCCGTTTATAAAGCTTGCCAGGATTCGAGCCTCTAGTATCAGAAGCACAGCAGTCTTCGAGCATACTCGGTTTTCCAACAGACCACGAAAACAATGGCTAAACTTCGAGCGCAAGTGGGTGTTAATCACGTTGGCATTGATCTTTATCTTGAGAGAAAAATATGTGCTTCTCCAAAATCCGTGATACGAGAGTGAATTTTGAAAAAATATCAAATCTTTGATGGTGTAGTGTTTTTTTTTTTAATTGTTTAACATTAGAAATATTTGTATATTTAAAATATATGTAATAGTAAAATAATTTTTAATAGAATATTCTCTTTATATTTTAAGGATAATATTTAAAAAATAACGTGGTATTATTTAAGGAAATAACTTGAAAATTTTTTTTATCTTGTTTTAAAATTAAAAATTTGCAAATAATCATGATGATTAAAAATTTTTTGCTCTTTTGTTTGTCTATTTGATAACATTAATTTTTAATTCTAAATTTTATTTTAATTTTAAATGTTTTTATTGATTTATTAGTTGTTATATTACTAGTTAGTTTTTTACTTTTTTTTATTAATCATTAAAATATTGGATTTGTGCTACGCTAATGTTGAAAACATATCGTAATTCATTTTTTATAGTAGCAATAAAAAGTAAAAAAGTAGCTAAATAATAAATTTGGAAATAATAAAAAAATGTGTCAACTTGATAATTTCACTATTAGTTGTACGATCATATGCTTTCACTAGGACTCTTAATATAACACGATTAATACAAATAAAGACAACATATACAGATATTTTACATATCTAGATATTTATAATTATTTATTGGATAATTAATGACAAAAAACATTTCAATCAATAATAAATTATCCTTGGCTATAATTTAAATAATCAAGAATAATTTTATAATAACCATTATAACAATTTGTAGCTAAAAAAATGAATTTTTTTTAATTATTTGTATTTACTTTAATAATTTAGATAACTATAAAAATTAAATTTTTGTATGATCAAGATACGTATTAATTATATTATTTTTAAACATGACTCTTACTTCTTATATTTGTTTTTCAGGGTTTCCTTTTTATCCTCGTCGTTTCAATCGTTCTTGTAGCTTCGATGCCTTCTCCAGGCGGTGGCCATCACGAACAGTAATTATTCGCACGATCAAAAATAATCTAAAAATTATATTTTACGCACGACTATAACGTTTCATCTTCTACACAGCACGCATTTCATCATTCACGTGCCAGAATTAATTCACAAACATCACCATACGCATGTGAAGAAGATCCATATAAAATCTCACGATGAAGATGATGGTGACCATCAGCATATAGAAGAATGGTGAAACATTTTGTAAGATTACTTTTAAGTTTAATATTGTTAATATCGTTGTTATTGTATTATAATTGTTATTAATTGTTGTTACAAGTTATGTTATCTCAATAAAATATTATTTCGCCTAATATACAGTTGATCAATTCTTTTCGAACGTTTTTTATTTTCATCTCTGATTTGGAATTATTTTTAGAGACAGAATTCGACATTAGAAAAATTACGTTCTCCTGAAACAATAGCAATATATTTCAGTTAACACAATTATATTCATTTATTTTTTATAAAATATGGAAATAAATAATAACAAATATGAATTTGTAAATAATAAGTATTTGATTCGAGACTTTAAAAAAAGTCTAAAGTATTTATTAATCATATTTTCAAGATAAAAATTCAATTTATTCATTTCCTTACGAATTGAAAGTTGATAAAGATGAAATTTTGGGTATTTGAAGAAAGATACATGATGTTTGTCAAACACGTGTATTGTATAAAAAAATAAAGTATCATAATACAGTATGTACAAATATTGTTGATCAAAGTACACACATGTGCATACTAAGTGATATTTCTATATTACAGGCTTAAACAACTAAAAAAACGCAGTTCGAGTTATTTTGTACTATTCCCTTCTCAAGTATTCTTTAAAATATTCCCAGGGAAGATTTGGTTGAGCAAAATCAAATATAGTTTAATGAAATTTCAGTAACCCGAACGCCTTCGTTTTACAACCTGTAAAAAAGTGTATATTAATTTTACGAATTTTTTAAATGTATTTTCAATTTATGTAAAGATTTTTATAAAAATAAAATTAATTTTTCCAAGATTGGTTCACGATTTCAAGCTATTCTTAAATGTGTTTATAGAAAAATAAAAAATTTATTTTTTAAAATTTCGAGAATTACTCTCAAAGATTATTCTTTATTATTGCGTTAAGAGTTATTGCGTTAAAAGTTTTCGAATTACAAATTATCAATTACTCTCAACAATATATGAAAAATTTTCTTCTTCTGACAAAAGAATTATTTTTTTTTTGCCAGTCGAAAACAAAAAAAAATGAAAGTTTCCAAAAAAACAAATTTTACTTTCAAATGTATCCGCATACTTAGGAACAAATTTTTTTTCCTTTTTCACTTACCTAAATAATAAGGAGTCGAAGAAAAATGCGACCCAATTACCACCATTTCTTTTCCTCGTGGACGGGGATAGGTACAGGAACCTTCTCGACAACCGGAACAGGAACGTGCACCTTCTCGACGTGATGTACTGGCACTGGAACAGCCACCTTTTCCACATGGTGGATGGGAACCGGAACAGGGACTGGCACCTTCTCCACTATGGGTACCGCTACCTTCTTCACGTGATGATGATGGACCGTGTGCACGTGATAAGGTACGTGGATACGAACGTGGTGCGAACTGAAATTAAACGAATTAGGTTAGGTTTTCTCTTTTCTACTTTTAATACTTCGCGCTGATTATACGCGACCAATGACATTCCAATTATATTTATGCTTGAACTTAACTCATTTTAATTAAGAAATGGATATTTAATTTTTTCAAAAAGATGATAATTATTCAATTGTAAGTTATTAAAATTTTAGTTATTGAGAAAACAGCCAGGAAAAAAGAATAATATTCTGTGTTTCCAGATTTTCATTTATAAAATAAATATTTGTTGTAATAAATTTTTATTCAAAATTTATTCTACATTATTCCATTCCATTTGAAGGTAATAATGAATGTAATAATGTCAATAAGTTTCAGTAACTTACCCATGGTATCCAGGAACTGGCGAAGACAAGGCCACGGCCAGTATTCCGAACACGATTAGCTGCAACATGAATGTGAATTTGTGATTCGTTCATATGGTATAAAAGTGCATCGCATCGTGTATCATTTATATGCGACACCTTACTTTTTTTTTTTTTTTTCAAAGTTTCACTGCTTGTCCTACGTGTTTCGCGCAATCACGTTTCAACAGGGTGAAAGTGTCTTCGCTTTTAATTTCGATCAAATGAAGTTCATTTAGAAAGAAATTTATTAGGACGTTAGAAGTATTTATAAAAATAAGAAGTAAGAGAAAAGTGAGAAAAAAATCATAAAGAATAAAAACTTATTAAAAAACTCTAATAAATTATGTCAATTTGTTGAGTTTTTTTAAAAATAATAATTATATTTTCATCGTGATGATTGATCCTAACATCTTAGGATTAAGAAATTTTTAAAAATATAGAATTAATCGTAGTTGATTGAGTGATTCATCGATTAGAAATTTCACTTTTTACGAAATCTTAAATAGATCCACGTAACAGAAAGATTTTTATTTTATAAATATGTAACATGTCATATTAGAAATCAAGATATTATATAAGACTGTTCTATAATAAAATTTTTATGCCGAAATATACTTACTGAACAAAGATAATTATTGTATATTATATATAATGAATATATTAATAACATATAAAAATATAAAAAAAATGTAATATAAAAAACATAATTATATTGTGATAATATTATTAATAAAAATACTGTATCAAAATATGTTACATTAAAGAATGATATTATAAGAGAAAAAAGCAGTAGAACATCTCATAAAAAAATTCATAGTATCATTTAAATATCGTCATAATTCGAATAACCACGAAAGAATAATAATCATATTCAAAAATATACAATCTCTATACAATCTTCTAATTATAAATTTTCGTCACATCATCAATTCAATATTCACTATATCCTTTAATCCGTAAGAATAATATTTCTGAAGAATCACAAAGCGTTCCATAACGAGATCTACTCACAACAACAGTCTGGAAGCGCATTTTGATCTGGTTTCCTCTCTCTCTCTCAACGATTAACGATTTATTCTCTTTTACTCGGCTCGAAAATCCACGACAAAAAACCTACACGTATACAAGCGAGAAGAAGAGAAGGAATAATAGTTCGAGATGAAACTGAAATGAAATAATCGAGTTAAGCGATTAAAAAAAAGCTCGTAGATCCTGCGTAGATCACACGCGATCAATGGTTCACCGATGTCGATACGTTTCTGGCTTTGAACAGGCAGGGATATGTGCTTATAAAGGACGAACCGAGGTGGCCAAAACCACCCGATGGAAAGCTATGGGGTGGGAGAGGTAAAGTCGCTCAACTTTGCGATTACGTAAAAGCTAGGAAGCGTCCAACTCTCTGGTTACGTCCGTTCCCCTGTACTGCGCAACACGCGCGCCACGTGTTCGGCTCTCCGCTCGATATAACGCGCTTTGGAGGGCCAGAAATGGCAAAAGCCCCTCCATAATTGCGATAATTATTCTGCCGAACAGGCAGCTCGCGAGCCTGTTGGATCGTTACGTGGATAATCGTGGAAAACAACGAGTGTGCGAGTTTCCCGCGCTTTTTTTTGAATTATGGATGAACCTTCGCGGTGCAAAACATCGATCGATCTTGAATTTTTTTTTTAAAAATACGTCATAATGCGTGATAATAGAATCTAGATCGGGGTAGGGTGTGCAAAAATTTGTGAAAGTTTTTATATGAGAGTAAAAAATTTTTGATGAGAAGGATAATGAAAAGAAGTTTGAGATGATTTTCTTCTTGATAAGATTTGAAATTCAAATATATTTGCTATGAATATTAAGTGTTTCGTGTTATATTATAGTGACAGTGTGCGAAAATTTTTGGATGATTTTATATTATCGAAATTGATAAAAAATTCCAAAAAGAAGATTCAGAAATCGAATAGTGATAAATTGTAAATAATGCAAAAATATTATTAAATTAACATGGTTATTCAAAAATATGTATAAAAGTGCTCATTGCAATATTTAATTTAAAACAAATTTTTCTTTGATTTGATTGTTTTAATTGTATTCATTGTATCACGAATATACGAATTTTTAAACGAATATTTGTAACAAAATTCATGATATTGCAATAAATAGTCAATAATTTACATTTAATTTATATAATATTCGTAAAATATTAATAATTAAGAAAATTAAAATTAAAATATCTTAAATATTTGTCCATATACGATATCACAATTTTGGAAAATTAATTTGTGTTTTTAAAAAAATTATTCTAACGAAACATTCTTATGAAAGAATTGATTGAAATGAAACTTTGATATATCGAATTTTAGAAAACGCAACAGATACTTTCGTAAGATTCATATAAATCGAGTTCTTAATGCCACAGATAAGCAAATGTTGCATAAACGTTGCCTGTAAATTTTGCTTTTACAGTCGATCTTGGAAGATATATCATTCTGTATCACGTAACAGATTGAAGACACCGGTAGAATTTTTCATTACGTGATCGTTTTCACTCAAAAGATGTACGAACTAATATTTTTATCGTGTGTTAATTTAAATAAATAAACGAATAAATAATAATTAATTAAACAGATACTGCATATTTTAGAAATTGTATTGATTTATATTCAGAGGAAAAATAATAAAAATGATTTTTAATTTAAAAAAAAAATCATAGATAAGATTAAATAATATAATTTGAAAATTAATTAATTGTTTTGAATGAAATTAATAATTCAATAGAGAAATCTGCATGCTTTCATTCACGTCGAAAATAAATTATTAGATGAATCCATATAAAAGGTTAATAAATTGATCGAAAAATTTCTTAGATAAATCAAGTCTTATGAAAATTTTTTGTTTCTTTTCATTAAGCATCTAAGATATCTTCCATTAGCTCCCAATTATTAAGCAACACCACTTTCTATATTCCTTATTAACATATCTAATAACAAGTTCTTTTTTGCCATTAAGAGATATTCGTATAATATTCAAAATATCTGTAAAAATAATTTCATTTATTCAATTAATTCGATGTAAGCGTTCGTGTGTAAAATAAATGATATAACTATGGCGACCTTAACATTAGAACAACCGATATGTAATATCTAAATATTTATTTTACACATAAATGATTGTAATTAAAGTGAAATCAGATGGAATGGTGAAATGAAGATAAATAAGTATATAAATATATAAAATCACATTTCTATCTCGATAAATTACAATAATTAATTTTATCAAAAACATTTTCGATTGTATATAATAATCGTAAAACGAAAAATATAAAATTCATCATTTTGACGAATTTAATTGTTCTAATATCAATGTAGCAAGAAAAATTGTACATTTGTTTATTGTTCATTAATTATTGTGTCACGAGTTCAACATCAGTCGATTGGAACTCGTTCAAAGTGGAACAGAGAAATATTATAATAAACGTTTAATAACGCATCATCAAATTGTCTTCCATCCTTTTGTAAACAACGTCTAGTATGTAATCGCAAAGAAAATTGTAGACTTCATTTCGTTTCTCTCGTTGTAAAGTTGCAAAATTTTCCTCTTCCGGTCGATAATTCGATTTATCTTTTCCCGTTCTCGAGTCGATATCTAATAACGATAAATGCAATTTAAACGTGGCATTAGAAAATTCTTTCCTATTTTTCTTCGCTTTTACTCTCTCGCGAATTGATCCAATGTGAAATAATAAAATGGATTTTTTTTTTTTCTTAATTCACTTCGTCACATTAAAATGCATATATGGTTAAATTAATTAAATGTAACTTCCTGTAAATACGCAAAATTGGTCGCGATATTCTAATTTCACTAATCTAGTTTCTCTATAGCGTTTCATTTAATGAGATACGTATTTTCAATAAAATTTTTACATATCTAATAATTGTTTAAGAAGAAATTTGTGTCAACTTGATCAAAACATTCAATCATCGTCGTCAATTTGACGGAAAATCATGATTTTGATAAATTCTTTAATTATCTTCAATTATATTCATTATTATATTTAATATAATTATATGTTGATTATATTTATAACGAGTGTCAAAAATGAACACTTTGAAATATACATTTTAAAAACAATTTATAAATATTTTTTTATAGTATGCAATTTCAAATATAATACATTATCTATTTCCCAAAAATATTCTAATTGTAAAAAATAGAAAAAGGAATAAAAATATAATAATAGGAAAATATGTAATTCCTTAGTTCAGATTCCGCTTGGATTTCCGGTGTTATACGTTAGAACGATTGACTCGCTTTCTAGCCAATCAAGGCGGCTCCGTGAATTTTGCGAAAGGAGTCAGTGTTAAGAGCAAGGTAACGATCGAGAGAGCATGGTCCGTGTCGGTGTAATGTGAGTTACATCTTTCTTTTTTTCGTGCGTATATACTGTCGGCCAGTGTTACAGGAAGTGGTGCAGTCCGCATACTTAAAATAACCATCATACAGGGAGAAAGTGTTTCGTAACCTCAAGTCAAGGCATATCGAATTGGATGCAACTAAGAGGCAAGGTATGAAGAGGAAGATGATTCTGGTGATTTTAAGAAGGTCCAGTCAGAGTCACTATCTCGATTGCGCAAGAATACTTATATGTGCAAAAATGATCTGAAACAAAGGAAACGAAATTATATTGTTTTATGAAAGTTTTGTCTGCATCTTTAATACGTACATTATATATAAAATGTTTAAAAATATTCAAAAAATGTTTCCATTTAAAGATATCCTACAGATAATTATAATAAGAACATAATAATAATATTATATGATAACCATATAGAACTAAACATTAAAGAGAAGAAAAATGAAAAGAAAAAAAAGAACTTTATATTAAAAATGAATAATAAAAAATATAAAAATTCATTAAAAATTAGAAATTTTTACTTTTTACTTCTAAAAAAAAAAATCATAAAAAAACAAATTTATATATTAATTAATATTCTTTTAAGATAATTTCTAATTATGCATTTCTTATATTTATTCAATATAGACAAAATATTTCCGTTTGACAAATAGCTCAAGATTTCTGTATAATATTGTATATCATAAGAATTTTTCATTTCTTAAAATATTTCTTGATTTCTCGTTTTAGCCCATTGCACGTGCCAATAAAAAGAAGTTTCATTTACATCAGATTTGCAACGAATTCCTCTTCGTTGCATAACACTGTATTTCATACTTTATGGTATAGACAAAGACAGGATAAGACACGTTGACGAACGATGACGAAAGGAACAGAATTACAGTACGAATGGAGAAAGACGAAAAGAAAGAAAATGGTAACGGGTGTATTGCACATTTTGTGTTTTCGATTGTCTGATCATTTACATAAGTATCGACTGCAATCATTCCCACCGTTTCAAAACGTCTCTTCTGTCTCGTGAAAGTCATGTCGTCTGGTCGATTTTGAGGGAAATATGTTTTGGTTAGCGTGCGACGAGAGAAAATGAGAAACGTGTCCAATGAAAGTCAAATGTTGGAACTGATCCAATACATGGCATGTGGTATGCGATATAATCATAAACAGCTTGTTAATTATTGTTATTGGAATTGGAATTAAAACTAATCGGCTTGGATCGAATCAATCTTATTACGAGGCTCCTTCCTTTTGGATATTGCGTATTATATAATTCATGGTTCCGAGGCGGAAGGGAAATCCAATATTTTATACATCCCAACAAGATATATACGTCTATTTTTGTGTTTTGCAATGAACTTTACTTTCCAACGATATTGGAATATTGTTATGTCATTGAACAATACATATGGAATAACCAAATTTTTATGTCAGTGATCTGATTGATGAGTTTGTTGAACTGTAATGTTTATTCATACTAAAAGTACAATTTGATAATATGAACATTGGTTTTAGATAATAAAATATAATTATATATTGGTTATAAATAATACTATAGTATAACATAATTTGTTTACATTAAAGAATCTATAATACCAATGAAAATTACAAAATCTGTTGTGAATAAAATTTAATGTGATTAAATTAATCGAAAATATAATAATAAATATAAATAATATTAATTTTAAAAATTTACATATCATTGTTAAAATGATCAATATTTCAAGTGAAAATAAAAGACAGTGCTATTAGTGAATATAAAAAATAAAATTTCACAATTCTAACCTTTTTCGTGTATAAGTGATAATTCAGATTAAATAAAAAGTTATTTTTACATAAAAAAAGATAAATATTAATATTTTCCTTTTTCAAAAAGGAGATAAATAAATTATTTAGTTATTAAAATTAAGAAGAACTAATCATAACATTAAAAAAACATCTTTGTAACGATAATAATATAATAATAACAATAATTTCAATATTTTATATTTCAATAGTTTATATTTCAATATTTTACGAATGTGCACATGTTATATAATATAATTTTATATAATAATTTTATATAATATTATTAATTAATCTAATTATATACTATTATATACTATAATATTCTAATAATATTATTAATTAATCTAATTATATACTATTATAGCTTTCAAGTGTAAATTTTATAGCTTTCGAATATAAATTTTAGTTTTAAAATTAAAATTTAGATACAGAAACTACATTATGTATTGGCAAAAAATAATTTAAAAAATCAATTACATTTAAAGATATGTGAAATTTCATAACCAAAAAATGGATTAAAAATCTGGAATCTTACGTGAATTTTATTCTTAAATTCCTTTTTAAAAATCCCTACATTGCTTTCCATTTATTTAATTCGTATATCGTTAGTATAAAAAAAGATCGCAGTTAGAATTAACATTGTAGTTCGTGCTAAAAATCCTATCGCTAATCGATTAGATGAAAACTAATTACTAATTAGCAAGTGTCAATTTTTATATGGTGTCGACAGTGTCTATGTGTCATCGTACATTTAGAAAACGCATTTCTAGTTTTGCAATGGCATGCAATATTTAGTCATTGATTGCTGTAACAATTCTAAAGGAGAAATTGTTTACTGATCACACGGCATGTATAAATCTATTCGCGTTTCTGCTTGCGCGGAATTCGAAACAAGATTCTAAAATGTCTCAAGGGCGTCGCCATGTTACGACAGTATTGCAATAGAATGAAAAAATCGATGCGTTGAGATTACGAAATGTTAACATGATTCTTCCCGTAATGTAAATACATACCATTTTATTTTAATTCTCATTTTTAAAAATCGAATTTGACATGAATATCAAGTGATTAAAAATTTATTTTGTAATATTTTCTAAAATCTCATGGGTATTAATATAATTGTGATACATCTATAAAAGTGATATTTCTTATTGCAGTTCTTTTTCATAAATTATACAATTATAGGTATTACATGTTTTTCCATGAAAAATGATAATAAGATATAAATATGTATATGTTTCGCACCAACAAATATTATTATATAACACTTTATAACAAAGTATTGTTAAATACAGTTATAAATAGAAAACTATTTCTTCTTTTTCTGTTTGACTGTAACCTCGGATTGTGGTTTTTGCCAATCTAAAGGTTTACGGCGATACATAGGCCATGGTGGTACTGTAATTATAGCTGCCAATACAAATCCTGCTCCTAATATGTACATTGTTTGAGAAAATTGCTGAATAACATATCCCCAAATTAATCCAACCACCTAAAAACAAAGATAGATATTAAATATTAGATTAGATATTCCAAAATGCTGCAATAAATATGAATATGTTTGAAGTATAATCTCACCCCAAATAATGTTATAATGACTCTTGACAAACTTTCTGATCGAGCTTGACCATCATAATCCTGCAAAAAAAATATATTTGTTACAAAATGTTTGTACATACGAATATATATATAAATACATAGAAACACCTGTTACAGTAAAAAAACATAACCTATTAGCAATTAAATGTTCTTTCAAAATATGTTAGGTTAGTTTTTTATTAATAATATTGAGATTAATTTATATACTTACCATATGCGTTGGAATAGATTTAATATATTGTACCCAAGAACTCATTATAACTAATAAAATTGACTTGCCGGTTATTTTACTTAAATAAATTTTTGTTTAGACGTGGATTATACGTAGCGCGAACGTGACGTTACTTGCGCAGGCGCTCTTACATTCTACAGGGGCGCGAACGACGATAAATTTAAAAATAAAAAATAGATAAGAATATATTCTGATATTATGAATAAACACAAAATTTTTATTTTAAACTAAAAATATTAATTATAATTATATAAATATATGAATTCTAGATTTAAAAATAAAAATTTCTGTAACATATATGTTTATAAATATTATTTATTTCATTCATCTTATGAAATATAAAATATTCTCTTAAAAGATATTTATATTATTGCAAAAATACTGAGTTTAGAAATATCATTCGACTCGATATTATATTTTTAAATTTTGATATTTCTGTATACATAAAATATCTTATAACAAAATGTTTCGTTTAAAAACAACCTTATTCTTCAACTAATTATTTAATATATCAAAAGAAATTTGTATTGGAATATTGCGTTGATACATTTCTTTTTCATAATTATATTATTTACAATTATTTACTACTATTATTAAACGTTGCATTGCTTTATTTTCCTCTTTCTTTTTACTTTAAATTGTCTTATTATTTAATTATTGATTTCGTTATGATAGAAATACAAGTCGAATTATCCAGATACAGAATACAGATTTTATCATTGAAAACATAAAACTTTTAAATAAATAATTATGAGTTAACACTTTTAATAAAATCCTTAATTAATCAACGAACACGTGTAACTTTGACAATATTCTTTCTTGAGCAAGTTGTTTGAATTAATTTCTATTATATCATATATATATATATATATAATACTCATTATTACCAGATATTTAATCTGTACATAATATAAATTCCAATATTATTACATTCATCTATAATATTTTTTTCCTAAATTCTTTCGTTTTCTTTCTCCAAAAAAATTTTAAAACAAATCCCTCCTCCATCCATCAGTCCAATTCTTAGAAATAACAAGAAATTCTCAATCAAACTTGTTAATTGAGCATTTTTTCCTGGGAACCATGAATGAAACTTGCCGCATACAATCGCGATTAGTATTCCCAATCAAAGCCTTGCGACAACGGTATCCTCGTACATTGAAGAGCTCCATGCTGGCATGGACGATGACTCGGTGTTACATTTTGCAAAATGCACAGCGTCGGCTACGGTGGGGAAGGCGGCGAACAGGCCGCTTTTGTATTCTAACAGGTTGCACTTTCTCATCATCTCGTATACAGGTCCTACAATATGTTCAAAACATCGTTCCGGAATTCATTGTGCCGCGTATCGATTAAGAACCGTTTTCCGATTCGATTATGGAACTGGGGAAAATAGATTTTTGAAAATAAATTCGAGAAATAAATATTTCTTCGAGTTTTATTTTATTATTTTACGAATAAACTTTTTTTTTTGAGATAGTTGTAATATCTCAAATAGTAGTTTGTTTTAATAGCGATTGATTTCATTGAAACATAAGAAAATATAATACTTCAAATAAACAGTCTTTAATTTTAACATTATTATATAATATTATTAGATTGCAGATTTTTATGTAAATTCATATTTCCATTACCATAATTAATGAGAATGAAAAATAAAGATATCATTTATTATTTAAATATCATAATAAGTATTTTATTTTAAATATTTTACATATTTTTGCATATTGTATGCGTTGTTTTCAAACTTTTGTATATTTATTCATAAATGCATAAATATCTGCAATATATTCATTGAGGTAAAATATTGAAATTTATTTAATCATTTTAGAATATAGAATAAATTAAAATATATTACATTCATTCTGAAAATAATACATGCTCGTGATATATGAAATAAAATATGAAATAAAATAATATTTATTTATAGAAATATTTTGTTTTTCTATTATTCAATATTTCTCATAATCTATTTCAAATTTTCTCCAGTTCTGGTTACGAAATTTCACTTTTACTTACCAGAACATCCTGCCACGTACACGGGTATATCAATTTCACAGTATTCGTTGATCAGATGTCCCAGGCTAGATGCGCCTGCCAGATCTATGTGACTGAGAGCGCTAAGATCCAATATTAAGGCCCTCAGCTGTGACACAAGGAAATTAATTTTCATTGGAAGTAGATTAGTAATTTTCGTTTCCAGATTATACAATATGAATATTATTGATATAATGATTATTCTCTTTTTGACGATTTAAAAAATTTCCTTATTTTAATCTTGACTTCTTTTGCATTAGATAATGACATCTGATTTTTCTTATATTTATTTTTAAAAAATTTTTCGTTACTCTTATTGCTAAAATTTACCTTAAAAAACTTAGATTGCTAATTAAAGATTAACTCGCCGGCATTATCTGAATTTTTGTTACATAAATGATGTTTTACAAAGTTTTACAGACTCCAAAAAAATTTGATATCATCAAGCTTTGTTTTTAATATAAATTAACACTGAGAATATCTTTGTTACATATTTGAGAAAATTCTTTTATACTTTGTTCAAAAACACTAAAACTTAATTTTAATGACTTATGATTTTATTATATTTATCATTTATGGTACGTAAATTAAATTTTATTATTTTTACTAGAAAGATATGTGAATCCCCTAATATTCATGGACCATATATTTAAAAGATTTTAATATCCTGTATAAAATCTATTTACTCTACAATAAAAAAAAAAAAAAAGAAGCAAAGAATTAAACAATTCCATGAAAACATAGTATCACAGAATTAAAAACACAAGATATCAAAAGATAAAAAAAGTTACAATACTTTTAATAATTGTCAAGTAAAATAAAATATTATCAGTGCCTCGAATTTGTTATTGTTAAAAGATTCTATAGAAGAGTTCTTTGACAGATTTTTATATTTTATTATTATTAATTAAAAAAAAAAATTAAACGCATTTGTTATTACATCATCTCTAAAGTGACCTAAGTGAAAATCCGTATTTCTTTTAATCTCGCCATGACATTTCTTACCTTCTTAACTTCCTTCAATTGATCATGCTTAAAGCCACCATTCGGTTCCTTTCTTGGTACTTGTCCGGCAACTTTGTACACTTCATCGCGGAAATGTTGTCGGCAAGCGAAATTCAAACTACCCGAGTAATGGAATATCCTTATGCCTGGTAACTCGACGGTCTATAATAAAATACGACTTCCGTATTAGCCATATCCATTTCCTAATCGAAATTCGGCCTGCGTAATTGCCTCGAGAAAAGGAAATCTGTCTTAATCGAAGTAAATTCTCTTTGCTGATATATTGATATATTGATATATTGATTTCTCATTTCAACCCGGTGAAATGGATATGAACTAGAAACAAGAAAAAAAGATAGACTATCATTGTTCCGTACGCCTTTATATCTCTTGGTATCCAGATAAAGCTCGGTACCAGGTACTAGAGCGAGTGAACAGGTGTAAGGGTGAACGGAGAAGAAGATCAATTTGCCAACGCAGAACACGATCCCGATCAGAAGCCCGTATTCCACGTCCAACAGGATCACTGTCGTGAATGTCACGGCCCAAATGATCCCGTCAATCTTGTCCAGCTTCCAGAATCTTTTGAACTCTGTCACCTTCATCAGCATCCCCTTCAGAGCCACCACGATGATGCTGGCTAGAACGCACTGTTGAAGAAAATATAAATAATAAATATCGAATCTTTTAATATATATTATTATATTGAATTGCTCAAAATATAAAAATACATACAAGTCTCCAATTTACCATTTAAAAAGTTGAGAAACACAGATCAAATGGTATCATTTTATGATTTTCTTTTTCTTTTAAATAAAATTTTGTTTGAATAATCTTTCTTTTTCATGTTTTTTTTTTGTAGATTTCAAGGAGAAATTTTAATTTCTATGAGTTACCCGTGGAAGAGGCTCGAAGAAGGGGCCGATCCATAATAAAACGCTAACCAGAATGCCACAGGATATCAAGCTAGCCAGTTGGGTTCGTCCACCGACAGTTTGCTGAATCAGGGATCTAGAGAGCGAAGCTGTGAATGGCATGCAAGAGAAGAAGGATCCGACTAGATTTCCAATTCCCTAGAAGTGATTGAGAATACAGTTAATAAGAATAATTTATTGTTTCTTATGTAAATGAGTTTGCATTTCCTTTCACCAACCGTGACACTGATTGTCTTACTACGTTAATTTCGTGGTCAAAGAGATTGACTTTGACGAATGAGAACAAGTCTGTGACTTGAATTATTTAATTTTAATTCCTTCGTTGATTCTAATGCATTCAACGAATGAATCAACAAATCACTATCGTTTCGTATTTTAAACGATGTGATACATTTGAAATTAATTTGAATTTAATTTCTTCATCAATCGAAACTGGCCAATCGATTAAGCTTTGAATTTTACTTCATGAATTCTAAAACTCTAACTATAATTTTAATTTTTTAATTTAACTTTAAATTCTAGATAAAAATAAAAATATCAAATATAAATTCAAAATTGTTTAAAAATTTAAAAGTGAAATTATGATATCTACAGTTTGAATTGTAATATTCAAACCTGTGCCATTAGTTCCTGATTCGAGTCCACTTCGTAGCTCAACTTTTGCGCGAAAATGAGCGCCATGGACATGGATATAGTGTAGGACACCATAGTGATGACAAAGCTGTCTATTAGAATGTTCGGCACTAAGGATAATGGTGGCAAGGTTGGAACTGGTAAACTGAAAAAAAAAAAAAAAAAAAATTGAAGAGAAAGTTGGCTCGAGGACGTTATTCACGTTCAATGTAACGCGATACAAAAATGTAAGGTGAAGAATAAAACAGTTTCGAGAAACTTAATTACCCAACTGGTATGTCACCAACTACTGCAATTCCATAAACGTCTGCAAGATTCAGGTACACGGAGAGGACTGTACCTATAATGACTACCAGCATTTCTATTGGGATTGGGAAGGGGCTGAGTTTTGCGAATCTTGGCTGTGAAATTTATAATTATAAAAATTAATATTTAATCATTCTATTTTAAAGTTGAAAAATTTAAATTTAATTTTATTGCATAAAAAAAATAAAATTTGTTGACA